AGGAGGAAAGGACTCCTTTCCTGTCCTTTTCCACGCATAAAAAGCTGGGGGAAAAAGGAAAGAAAGGGCGAGGGCTGGGAAAGGCGAGGGGGTCGAAAGAAACGGGAACGCGCGGAATTGTGGGTAGAATGGTGGAGTGAATTCGGCCACTGAATATCGAGTGCCCTTCAATCCGCACAGGCTCCCGATCAGGATGGCGGGTACGGCATAGAGAGATGAAGGGAGAGGGGTAGGGAGGAAAAAAGGGCAGAGATGAAAAAAACTATTTTGAAGCGCGGCTCATAAGCCACCGGATGACACCAAAATTGTCACTTGTTAGGTAGCTCGAGATTAAGCATTTACATTTTCCCCTTCTCCTTCTTTCTTCTTTTAATTGTTCCCTCTCTCATAATTTGTCAAAATTTTTATCTTCTGTTTCATACACTACAAATTTTTTTATGTATTATAGTAATTATAATTGGAAAGTTGTGAAAGCAAATGGAAAAATTTCTTGTAATATAATGGGATGTAAAATCATAGAAAAAATTTGACAAAACGTTTAAGTGTGATAAAAAAGATTAAAAAAACATTAGATTATCTCTTACAATTTTCTCCCAAATCTTCTAGCACAATAGATTGCGAGTACTCACGTATCCAGAGTGAGATTGTATTCTTGATTATTAAAAGATAAAATGATATAATTGATACTCTTCAATTTTTCTGGCCAGAGAAACTTCGGATATCGGTATCATTCTTCTTGGGCATAACGAGCCCTTATTAGATCAGCCAAAGTCCGTTGTAATCCCCAGGGAGCCGGCGAGATTGGTCCACGCTTAAAAACTTGCGCGCTGGAAAAATGTGTGCCGGGATGGTGTTAGCAGATGAACCATAAGTATGGGTCAACCCAGCGTGGGTCAGCTGTCAGTTGTTTGTCCTAGGAGAGGGGCGCCATTTGCGCGTTGCAGTCTGGCTTCGAAACAGCGCGACGAAGGGCCCGCCGAAAGGTCCCCCTCCGCGTCAGCGAGCTGTGAGTTTCGGTTTCTATGCATTCGGTGAAATTTTTCATTGACACGGTCATAAATTTGCAAATTTAGAGAAAGCGTTTCGACAAAAACAAATGCTAATGTTTTTGCATCATAATAATAATGACTTAACGTGAGAGATATACAGCTGAAGTAGCAAAAAAATATTTTCAAGAATTTTTTCAAAAAATCTATGAAAAAAGGCAATTTAAAAATAAATGGCTTATATAGTAGTGTCTTATTAATATAAAAGTTTGGGCGTTTAAAATTATAAGACATTCGAGATAAAAAAACATGCTTCTAAAAATGCATCTTATGCCGCTTTGAATCTCGATCTTTATTTGTCGAAAACAATTCGATTCTTTTTGCATAAAGTTTCTAATTCTACGGAGAAAACTCCTCGTCTTAGAATAAATCAGGTTGCAAATGAAGATCTTGCAAAATTACAATGCTCTTGGTATTTTTGGAATGTAAAAAAAGAAGTTAATGAACATTTTTAATGAACATTACTTTGAGAAAAATGTGGGCGTGGAGAAATGTGTAATTAATACAAAATGATTCATATCAGATAGAATTTTTTTGAAATAAACGATCGATTTGTCGCCTTTACTAAACTACTTTTCCATCATTGTAATGCTTGAAATATTTAATCTTTAAGTAATTATGCTTCGTAGTTATTATTTTTTCTATTTTTGATATTGCATTCACGCGTGTATACATATACAGAATGCTATGAATAATTACAGATTCAGTCATATGTTAAATCGTGATATTTTTTTTTTTAATATATTTCGAAATTTTAACCTGTATATAAACGTCAATATGTGATGTTAATCTTAATTTGCGTAAATGCATATTTCTAATATTTAAATATAATATTTAATATATTTAAATTCTGCAGTTTTCAGATCAAAAAAGTTGCAAAAACTCAAAAACAAATCACGAATGCAATTAATAGATCACGGAGAATAGTTAACAATTTTCAAATAAATTTTAAATTGATAATTATGATAAAAACAAACAATCTGCATAATATTTATCCATTGCAAAACCCAAGTATAAATTGTATATTTTTTACTCTTAATAGAAAACATTGTTGTGAAAAAGATATATTGGTATACATTTAACAAAATACAGAATAAATTTTTTTGTTATTTAGATAAGCGTGCAAAATTAGGGCAAGTTACCTGAGCTTATTCAAGACTTCAAGTTTCTTTTTTTTTAAATTCTGTATGTAGTCGCAATGTTCAAAGACCATCGATTTTTCACTTTGATTATAAGCAAAATACTAAAAAATGAGCTTGTAAATTTTTCTGCTAAAATGTTTCTAAAACTGGGTGGTTTATGGTCTGATTTATAGACATTTATGGACTAACACGCTATGCATTGTTCCAGTTGCTTTTATGCAAGACCGGTAGGAACAGTGTTCATTGAAACTTACACATATTGGCAAAAATGTTTAGAATACCGTTATTTGTACTGCAAAAAAGTGTGATATATATATATAGCACATTTAACGCTACATTTTTCATCTCCAGTGTCATCTTTTATGTACAAATTTAAGTCAAGTTTAAGTCAATATAATTAAGCAATGCGGTAGATCTTATACCTATACTAAATGCATGCACACTTGCACAGCAGAAAAATTATTTTTTTTTTTAATAGACTCTTTGACAAACAAGGATATATGCATGCTTAATTGATACCAATAAAATAATAATTGTTTGTTACTTTACTAATGTACAGAAAAATAAAATCGCAAGTTATTTGCCCACCTAAGCTCTCTTAAAAATATAAATAAAAATCTAATTAACTTTAATGATCTATGATTGTATTACTTGGAGTTTTTACTTTATAAAAAAACATTTTTTTTTATCCGAGAAACTGTTACATCGACCTTCATGGATTGTTATTAACTAAAACACAGTTGTAGGTTTAAATCTAATTTTTTCTTTAATAAATTTCTTTAACAAGTTATAGCCTTTAAATCTAGCTCGAGCATCTTAGATTTAGCCACTTGCATACACTGATTGCGAACAATCCGTAGATAATGTCTTAATCATTGTTTACAAACTGTCTACGGAAACTGTGTACGAGAGTAGTGCTTTCCATTTTTAAATTTAAAATTTAATCAAGAGGATTAGAATTTAATATCGTTTATTTAAATCTAATTTAAAATTTTTTAAATATACAATAAGTAAATATTATTTATCTAAATATTTAAAATTAAATTTAGATAAATAAAATTTACCATAAAAAAAAAATTAGAGAACATTTTTATTGTTGATCTTTGAACAATTAAAGCATGCTTATTATTAGAATTACCAAAACATGAAATAAATATTTTTTGGACTTTTATAAAAACATCACATATACACTGAAAAAAATAATTCTGAGTAAACTTGTAAGGTGCATTTAATAATGCATTGTTATGAATTTTTATTTATTATTGCCAATTGTAACAATAATAACAAAATTACAAATTTAAAAAACTCGGATTCGATTCCCCATTCAGCGACTTCTCCCCGATATTTTTCTCGCTTTAATCGGGGTGGGGGGGGAGGGGGGGGAGGGAATAAAGAGTTCATTACAAATCTCGAATTGAGAATTTTAATTATATTTGGTATAGAACCAAGAAATATCCGTGTCCTGTGCACATAATCAGTTTCATAGAAAATTTATTGTCCAATGAAACTGACACATAGAAAAATTATTTTTCTATGAAATTGGCGCATAAAAAACTTATTTTACTATGAAACTAACGCACTTCCATCCGCGTCTGGCTCTTACCAGCCCGCGATTATTTAAGCTTGTGATTTTCACTTGAGAGCTTTAATAATTTCTTATTTGAATAATAACAAAACGTTTGGTAATAATTACAAACATTTCACAAGGGCAACTTTGGATTTAGTTAAGCCTATTAAATTAATCTATTAACCAAATTATTTCGTCATAATTACCTATACGTTTAGTAGAAACTATTTCACCAAGATTCTAGGTAACTTTGATCAAAGCTGGATGATTATAATTAATTATAATCAATATAATCTTTTTTTTATTACACAAAAAAGAAAACTAATAAAAAAGTTATTCAGTGCATATGAATGGTGTGTTTGTTACATTCTAATTTACTATCTAATCAGTTTTAACGGTAAACAAAGAGAAGAAAGGAGAGAGATTTTTATTGTAAAACCCTCTATTAACTTTTAATAAATTAATTTAATAATATTAAGCAACAAATAAACGTGATAATATAGATGAAATAAGTTTCTTATGTAATTTTGAGATAGAAGTAACCATAAAATAGTATTTGTTTGGCGGTGTTTTTACAGTTAATCCTTTACATAAAACATAAAAAAAGAACTTTTGTGTTTAATAATAGCTTAAGGAGAAAAAATACAGAGTTTGAATATATACAGATTGTCGCCAAGGTTTACAATAATCCGCTTTAGTGTCGAAGACAAAAAAGAGGCTAAAATATATTCTGCATTTTCGACTCTCGCAAAAAAATATAGGGATTGTTAAAGAAGCCGCGCTCACGCGCACAAGTATTTTGATTGAACTGTAAACGCATTGTAAATTTATTGAATGTCTTGTTTGTGGAACAAAAAGGATTAAAAAAAAATTTAAAGGTTGAAGCGGTAACGGTCGGAAGACTTTTCTTGTGACGCGGTGAAAGAGGGTTAGAGAAAAATTTATTACCGATCGTATCTGATATATGTCGATCTGTCTTTTAACAGTATTTAAAATATGTAAATAAAGCAATGCATGAAGATGTAAAATTGCAGAATTTGTCAAAGTGGCGAACTCGGTCGTTCAAATGATTTGAAACCGCATATTTAGATAATCTCCGCGTATCTAATTTCTGGCTAAGCTATTTTTGAAATTTGTATGTACATTGAGAAAAAAGTTAACTTGGCTAAATGCATTGAATTGATTATCATTTTTTTTAGTTGAAATATTTAAATATTTACGACGTATTTGACTTAATTACTTAATTATATCAACTAAAAAAATGATAACAAACTAAACGTATTTTGTCAGTATGTGACATTGATTTGATTCGAATTTCGCAGAATGATTCTTAATGTAAATTGATGAAAACAAGGAAAATACTATATTTTTCATAAAGAATGTGCACGTTTATCTAATATTTTTTTTTTAATCTTGCGTCCCCACATGCACGTGCATAAATTAGAGTATTTCGAGTTTAGAAAAAGTTCCTATTTTAAAATTTTACTTTTTAATAGACATTTCTCTCTTCCTTCTTTCCAGTATTGGGAAAAGGGTGAGAGCTGTCTACGTTAGAAGGAAAGCAGACGGCGTTTTGTGCCAAAAAAAGAATCTGAATAATGGAGCGGTAGAAATGTGAAAGTTAAGTAAAGTTTTTTCATGGTGGATTTTATTAGAAATTAGTGTATAATGTTTCAGGAAACCAAGTAACAGAATAATAATATTTGATTATGAAAATAACAATATTTAATTTAATTTAATTTAAAATTTGTCATTTTTACAACATTTTCGTCATGGTACAAGAAGGTAAAGGAAGAATAAAAGAATAAAAGAGACGTAAAGTTCCATGTGACAAAAAGCGTGACATAACCGGCTTAACTGGCGCATAACAGTAATCCCAAGAGAGGCTACTAAAACATAGCGGATTTGTATCTTTTAAACGGTAGGAGTGAACAGTTGTATTTGATAAAAAGTATACGGTGAACATCGATGAATCGGTAGTCGCCACTGACCAAAGTGGGGGACACAGGGGCTGCAAATGTCCTGTTCATGAATGTTCGAGGGGAAAACCGTGCCATGATTGGCCAAGCGAACTGGAGAGAGAGGGTAACTGCCCCTTCAATGATTATGTATGGGACCTAGAATTCTTTCAGAGTCCTGAGCGCTCAGCTGAAGCTTATTGCTCCGTTGCTCGTCAAACCCGTCGTTTTTGATCATTTGTAAGGTCGTAGTATACGGTACTCTAATAGAGATACCTGTTATAGAAAGACTTAGATTTCGGTGCGGGTATTCGATTATTATTGCTATAAGACTAAACTTAAAAATAAATAACAGTATAAGTTACTCCGCATCTGTGTTTCTCAAATTTGTTTGTGAGATATAAGCAACTTTCTAGTCGCTTCTGTATTCGCAAAACAATATAAAGAGAAACGAACTATTTCAGTCAAGAAACTATCCCGAGATACATGTTATTACGGTTTTTTAACGATATTGATCGATATTTTGTGGGTGTGATCTGTGAAATCTTCATCTGGAAAGAAGAAACGGGATGCTGCCGCGAAAATAGGTGTCAGACATCAACAAGATTCATTATTGATAAACGTGATCTCGGCTGACAGTAAAACAAGGTACGATATAACTACATCATTTAATTTTGATTAGAGCTCGCTTTAAACGATTTATAAGTGGAGACCAAATATTCTGACATATGTATTACATGTGCACATGATGTTTGTTTTTTAAATATTTTCTATATATTACATGATACATAAAAATATAAATAGAATTTTGTCCTGAATCTTGTTGAATTATGAATCGTTTAAAATGAGTTGAAACTCAAATCGCGATATAATCAACTATTTCTGTACATTAATTCCGTTTGATTATCACTCAAGACATACCTAAAATTTATCCGCGCGATTGTTGCCCCGCATAAAAATCTTTTTTTTTTTTGCTTGTATTATCTTTTATTTTTATAAAAGAGATTTAAAGAGAGAAAAGAATCAAAACAAATTATTTAAATTTAAATACCTTGATGCTGTGTTGTAAATATTTAATATTAAAATATGCTCTGTTTTATTATGTTTCTCGGCAAGAAATAGCTTTTGTTTTTGAGACATTCAAAATTATCCTATTATAATCTTTTTCCTCTCCACTCAAAGTCTTCGATATATTTAATATTATAAATTTATTAAAATTTTTCATTTACGCTACATATCAATATTTCTTAGCGATTTTTCCTCGTCATATCCACGTCTGTCTTATCCCGTCTGCCAATTGAAATTTCCAACGTATATCATCGCTTTGTCGTATGTTTTTCTATTTATTGTTATGATCTTGAGAAGTATGTCTCGTTTGGAATTTGGAAATACCATCGTCGTTTTGACCTTTAAACGAAAACGCTGTTCATTTGAAATTTTAAGATATCATTGAAATTGAAAGAAATCAAGATTATCAAATTTTTCAAGGAAAATGTTCGTTGATTTAATGATTCATTGATTTTTATAAACCATAACTTCAAAGTATGTATTTTTAACAAGATATAAGTATCTTTTTCTTTATCTTATAAATCAAACAAAAATATTTTTTGGTGTATAACGGCATTTATCGATTAAATAAAGCATTTTATAATCAGCCACGGAATCACATTACGAACTTTTGAGTATGTTTCGACTCATTATTGCAATAGTTATATCTTTGCAAGTCTTTTGCATTTGAGCATATAATCTTGGGGTACATCACAAAAAGCAATATTTTGTTTCATAAGTGAGTATGCGATTGTTAATCTTATTATTACTTTACATGTGCTCGCATTCCAAACTGAAGCTGTTTATTCTCATTTCAAAGTATAACGTCACAGAAATAGCGAAGAGATATAGACAGTATTAACATTCCATCAAAATCTTTATGCATGTGTTAAATCGTGTATGTTGTGTGTGTGTGTGTGTGTGTGTGTATGTATGCAGGCTTTCTATAAATTCAGCATTTTTACAAAATGATTCAGCGCTGAATTTTCATAACTGGCTTTTTATAAAAAGCCTTTTCCAGTATAAAAAGGCTCATTTTACAAAAAATCTGTAATATATATATATATATAAACTAAACGTTTGGATATTTTAGTTAATCATCATTTTGTAGATCACAGCTATATAGAGAGAGGGCCTTCTTTCTGTATAAAATTTCTCTTAGAAAGAGAATTGATATCGCGATCCGCGACAATATCAATAATTATATTGTCTCATTGTAAGAGATTTTCTCTTTAGCAATGGAAAATATATTGTGCGATTACCCTTCAAATTACATTACTTAATAAAGTTAAAATTAAATACAAAGCTTAAATCTTCTCGTAAAAATAATTAAAAAATAATTTTATATTTAAAAGATAACCACATATGTATGCGTTCCCCTAAAAAAAAACATCACATTACGATGACATAAAATACATTTATTAATCTTGTCATCAAACTTGCAGACATTGATTTATTTAAGAAAAAGTTTGGTCCATTTAATATACATTTATCATTCTTGAAATTTACTTCACTTTCTCTGTCGTGCACAAGCTTATACAAAAAAAAGATAGATTGCTTTTAGAAAAAATTACCAAATTTTATTTATAGCTTTTAACAGAGAAGTTAACCTTGAACACCTACTATGAAAAACTTCCAGCAGCAGGAAACAGCAGGGAAACTCTTCGCGCTCAAAGACTTTATTCATTGCTCCGGTTAAACAGATCAATCCTACCGGTTTATCTTTAAAAAAAAGTCTCATAAATCTTGTATTTAGCATATGTTTAGAAATATAACAATATATAAAACAAAATTAAACAATTTTAACAACAATTAAAATGTAAAATAATACTTGTGTTAATTAAAAACAATAGAATATTTTAATCTAAACTTTCCGTTGCGCGTCCGGTCTTGCGTGATGATTTTTTATTTCATCTCCGGATTTTACCGCTTTGAAAATAGTAAAAAGAAAAAAATGTAATACTATAAAATAATAATTCGCCATCCGTTAAATCAGTGATAGCAGATTGCCGAGAAACAGCGCTGCCATTCGTTCGCTTTAGATGATAGAAACGTGGTGAGTAATCGTGCAACCCCTCTCCGATTAAACTTTGTCTCTCTCTTTCCATCTCTAAATCTCCACATCATCGCGTACTGTATCCTTCTCATTCTCTGGACCCTTCCCCTTTTACAGACAACAAAATGTCGGCATGAATACAATGGAAGTCGTATTGGTATCGAGTTTACGAAGCTCGAGTATGAAACATTTCCTTCCATTTTTGCGCATTCGTTTCGTATTTTTTTTTTTCTTTAATTATTTTTACTTTGCAGGATATATTTTTTAAAATTAATTATCAAATAAGAATTATATCTCCAGAATATAAAACTAAATTTGATTCTTGCGAACAAGTATATTTACTTTAATGTAAATATCAACTCTATATTTTTAACTTTATCATTATATGACACAATAACTTTACATCTTTAAGATATAATATTAAATTCTCTCAAAAGTTTAAGAGAAGCCAGAGTATAAAATCCAATTGTCATTTGAATACACAAAAATATAATCAAATCAACTTTAGACAATTAAATTACGTAATTTTGCAACAAATTCTTCGATTTTAAGTCACTTATCTCTTAATAAAAGAAATTCTTCGAACAAATTTTTTATGTTCATTGCAGATATTCAGAAGATGTCGGAAAAGCATGGGAATGATGGCAATGATTCCGGCATTGGCTGTTCTCCTCCGAGCATCAAATTGGAAGGTGAACGGAATGAAACGGTGTCCCTTCCATGTTGCTTTCAACAATCGCCTACGACTGAATCAACAAATCTGAACTACTCCGAATTGATCAGAACCGAAACAGAAGCGTTTCAGAAGCGCGGAGACGTTGATCATGTGTTTACGGGTTCCGTAAAATGTGAATTATGTGACTTCAAACCTACGAGATTGTAAGTATACTATGATTAATCTTTCAATTATGAGTATATAAAATGTATTGAAAGATAAGAAAACATAAAATAGATTGTTGATATAATTGTTTGTATAATTTAATGTAATTTATTATCAGCTAGTTGTCGATAAATAATTTATCATTATACGTTATTATTTAATAAAACCCGACAATCGTATATTTTTCAAATCATTCATCAATGTATAATTTGTCACATATAGACAGACACTCATTATTATTTAGCAAAACTCAAAGACAAATCATAGATTTTTTTTTCAATTTGTACATCTTTATAGATTTCAGTATTATCATCATATAATCGTGCATTGCAAAAGAACCAGCGAGTCAGAGTCCGAAATTGATCCAGCGCAGGCGCTAAATATCGAATCTTTACACAATGGAGATTATTCCCCCGAAGAAATCCAAAGCAAAAAAAAGAAGCGACGTAAAAATATCAAGCCTAAAAAATGCAAACATCGTGACTGCGACTTCGTAACGACCGAGGGATTGGATGTGACAGAAGCGAAAAAGGAACTTTGGATGCACATGCGTAAAAATCACAAGTACCCTCTCGTCTGCCGTCTTTGCCCATTCGTTACCGAGCCCAAACATCATATGGTTTACCACTGGCTTGGTGATCACACTAAACTCAGGCCGTTCAAATGCGAAGAACCTAACTGTACGTATAGTTGCGTGGCCAAGTCAATGTTAAACAGTCACTTAGTACGCCATTGGAGCGTTCATCAGTACAATTGCAAGGATTGTCATTTTAAAGCCAGATTACTTCACGCGATGAAGAAGCATATGAAAGAGAAAAATCATACTCAAGTGCTGGTACTGAACGAGGACGGTACGCAGAATCTGACGGCCGTTATTGATGTATACAGTAAAAAACGTGGACCCAGACGGAGCACCCTTGCTAAAAATCAGGACAAATCGGATCATAGCGATCTCAACCAGTCGAGCTCATCAACTTCTCCAGAACCACCTCAAACTCCAATCTCTCATTCTGAAGATCAACCACAACTACAATCAGTTGAGTCAGAAAGTAACATCAACAGCAATAACAACCAGTCGAATTTATCAATAATGTATTCATCGTTGTTTCAAACGCTATATAATCTGAGTACTCTTATAACAGACAGTATTCTCGATTGGAAAAACGGCAGTCAAAATCCGACTTCTTGGAATTATCTGATTTACTTGTTTAACTGTTTGTTCGGCGAAAACGTGGCATCTTACATGAACATAGAAATGATCGATCCGCAGAATCGTTTGAACTCTTTATTTATTATGCAAAAGATGGTAGATTTGCACATCGAACATATAAGTAAAATTGACGGTAACAATTTCGAAACAATTAATAATACCGGAGCCGGTCCTAGCAACGATAGGAACGATACTATTCATACTGACAAACTCTCGACATTCAACGGATTGGAATATCGGCCAGAAACACAGAATATCCCTATACTAGGCCGTGCTAATTTCGAAACAACTGACAGCAAAGCTGGTCCTTTCGACTACAGAAAATATACTAATCAAGCCTCGACATCTAACAAACGGAAGGCTGAACCGGAAGAGCCAAATGACACTGACAATAATTACTTCAACTCAACTAACAGCAATGAAACTGGTTCTTCCAACAAAGTTTCTAACAAAATCTCAACATCCGAGGGATTAGAATCCGAGCCACAGATACAGAGAGACAAGATTCCAAATAAACCATTGAGTATCAGTAAATTCAAGATGACCGGCGCTACTAAACGTAAAGGTAAAGTGCAGACACGTTTTGCAATAGAAGAGAACCCAGGACAGAATAAAATCGAATCTTTCGAGTCTCCGATGGACAGTGAATACGGTTTACAAAGGGAAAGCCAGATTAATGTCACAGTAAACAAAGTAAATTTAAATAATAACTGCGAGTACTGCGACCTTACGTTTGGAAACAGATTTATGCATATTATGCATATGCATTTTCACAAAATTAATGATCCCTATACGTGCAACGCGTGCGGTGAAAGATGTGCTAACAGCTTGGATTTTAATAGTCATCTTATCCGTGGAAAACATTAGAATACAAGTCCAATATAAAGATATGTCAACATTATTTATCGTATACGCTATTACTACTTCTTCCTGTTACATGGGAAGAAAATTATTGAGACATGAAAACTGTTATAAATATTATAACAGTTAATTAGTATCTTAGTAATAGCACTACAAAAAATAAATACGCTTTACATATATAGACGCAATTTAGCATCACAAGCTAAGAGAATATGACGAATAGATATTGAAACCGTTACCATAATCGTTATCGAGGATATATTTCCAATGTTAATTACAGTATTTTTATAATAATAAATTACAACAGAGTCTTTGCATTCATATATGGAAAAGTCATAAGAAAAGTAATGGTTTCGATATCTGGAAAAAATAATAAAATGGAACAAAAAAGAGAGTTGAGCTCTCTCTATTGTAAATTCTTTTTTTGTTTTGCAAATAATATATAATTATGTACTTCTTAATTTAATTTTTTCAGTATTACTTTATGATATTATATTGCACTTAATTTAACATTCCTCGAAATTATAAGACTCTTGGTATATTATAAAGTTAAAATTATCTTTTTATTTTTTCTGCTTTATGCAATATGCATAACTACGCGTGTGAATCCGATGCAGCAAATTGATAATTTTTCCAAAAAAGTTTATACAGATTATTGATATAAGTTTTTCAAAATAGGTTATATTAATGTTTCATTGAATAATATTAGGTTCATCTTCGCTCTTATCCATTGCATTACTTTTTCAGATTATAAAGTATCTAGACTTTTTTTTTAAAATGCATAATCTATTATATATTTTCAAATAAGAAAATATATAATACACATCGTAGAGAATTTGAATCTAATCTGTTTTAATGTCAAACCATTTTTTTTTTTAAATGAAGTCAAACAGATTCGGTATCCAAGCTTTGTGATAACATTTTCTTATCTTATCAAATTAATGCCTATCAAATAATCAAATTAAAAAATTTTTATTATCTTAATAATATTGTGACATGTATATATGTATATATAACATGTCGTATTAAAAAAGAAATATTTTACTTTTTACAAGATGGCAAAATATCAATTATAAAATTGTTGATTATAGTATGGAACATCGACAATTATATATATATAATACTAACTTTTTGTTATAATATATAAAAATTTTGTCACAACTAGGACGCCGGATTTGTTTGGCCATGCTTTTAAAAAAGACAGCATGATTTCTATTATCATACATTATACAACGATACAGCATAAACTTTGTCGTGAGAAATTTTCCTCTTATAACTTTATTGTAATTATTTTGTGATAAACTTATTCTATGAAATATAGAATTAATTATGCATTTTATTTTAGAATTCGTATAAATTTTTTTGGGAAAAATATTGAAAAATTATCGCTGCATATGTACATGTTAATTATACCAAAGAATTAGAATTATATATATGTTATATATTTAATACAACAATTATATATGTACATGCCATTATATTATTAAGATATATTATAAATAAAATATAATGGCATATAATTCAATAAATGAAGAAAATCTTGTCACAGCTTGGACGCCAGATCTATTTGGTCCTATTTTTAAAAAAGATAGCTTGACATTAAAACAGGTTAGATTCGAATCCTCTATGATGTGTATTTTCTTATCTTCACAATCCTTTATTGCCCAATCTCAATTTTAATTTTATATATTTTATGCATTAGATACTTCATGTGCATTTAGTATACTTTTATGTATTAGATGAATATTATATATCAAAATTTTTATTTAATTTTTCAGGCATTGCATTTGCGTAATGTAAACGAGCAGATACATCTTATGGCAACTTTTGTTCCTGACGAAATAATCTACGAGACTGATTTGTCAGAAAAAAGTTTTCGAAGCTTTCGAGCTGTTTTAATGTTTCTAAATATTTCAGGTTAGCTCTCCGCAATATCGCACACATGTACATTCACATAAATTTTAAATCTCTTTACGACAAAGTAGATGACAATTTTTTCTTTCTCTTCAAATTTCTTTTTAAATTGACATTCTTTAAAATCGTACGATTAATGTAACGGTAGGTTTCTCCACGTTATTTAAAAAGTGTACTTATGATAAAAATGGAGGAAGTCAAGCTTTAAGTAAAATATTAAATGATTACGTCCACATCGTAGTTCATGAAATATACTGCAGCGAAGGAGACATACTAAAATTTTCTGGTGAGAATATTGTTTGAGTTAAGATATATGCGTATCAGTGAAGGAAAAAATAATTAGAGAATATCTTTTAGTAATGGATAACTTGCCAAATAAAGATATCATTTTACAAATTTCTCTTTTAGATAACAATTAATATTTATCCTTTTATATAAGATTTTCTTCTCTTCTATTTTTTTTTCTTTTTTATATATTAATTTCAAATTAAAAATTTATTTCCTAACATCAGCAATATGTGTATAAATGAATAATATTTTATTAAAAACATAACTATTCAATTTGATAAGTTATTAATTATAATATAATTTTTAATGATATATAATTGCGAGTATAAATTGATAAAAGTATAATAAATTAAAAAGGATATAATTATTTTATCTAATTATAGAAAAATATGCACATAAATTTTTAAAAGGTTATTGATGATCTCTCACTGATACGCTTATCTTTTAGCTTCGATTTTTTTAAAAATAGATAACTAATTAAAAATACAGCTCAGGGATTATTAGCTGTATGGAAAGTACGCGATGATGAGTTTATATATAACGTCGTACAAAAGATAATTATATGCGCGATGAAAATACAAAACTCTATAGCAGCACTGAAAAATGGCGATGAAATTTTTAAAGGTATTTGCTATAACAATACATTTACACTAAATTTAATATAATTGTAAATAAATAAAAATTAGATTAAAATTATATAAGACAAAATAAATTTTAAAAAAATATGTATTTATATTTGTAGTTAATTTGATAAGACGCGGATTAATAAATATTCTTTTTTTCGTTTTTCGGTAATATCACGAAATTTTTAATAACAGTAAGTATAGCACTTTCGGCCGGAGATGTAACGTTCTCAATCATCGGTAGCAGCGAAGCTCGACATTTTGTGCTTTTCGGTTTGCCGATTGAAGAGTTAAAGCAAGCCGACAAAATTTCTCTATCAAATGATTTGATATTATCAATGAGTGCGTGGCAGCATTGTACGCCGAGTCAATACGAATATGTCATCAAAAACCCATATAATATCAAGGTACATTTCAATTGTAATCTATAAATAATCATTTTCTGTAATTTTTTTAACTAAAGAATACTAGTATACGATAATCTTGTGTCAAGATTATAGGTCTGACTTTCTATAATTTCTACAATTCAAAATTTTACATTTTTAAAGAGATACATTATATCGATATAAAAATCATTCTCACTACAATTGGCAAATTAATGCAATTAACATTCAATATACAACGAGATATATTTTCAATAATCATAGATAATAAAAGTATTAGAGCAACCAGACGCAAAATTACCATACACGATGCCGATATTGTCGAACGTTACCACTATTTCGGATGAAATATTCAAGGAAAGGAAATTTGAAACAAATTCCACCAGACCATCGTCACCTTATAAAGCACGTTTGTCTGTTGACGGGCAACTATTTTCCAAGACAGTAATTGCTGATACGAAAGAGAAAACTTCTACAGGTGAAACAAACGATATAGTTTGTTGTTCGAAATTTGTTTACAAAAACTCGTCTTATTCATTTAAATTTCTAAAAATTAATAAATTATTAAATTGTTTTGCATATCATTTTTCTTCGCATTTTTTACTCGCAATTATATTGTAGTTGTACTCTTCCTAGGATTACTAAAAAGAGATTAATTTGTTTTATATCCGTATAAAAATTTCTTTTATTTTCATGTAACTACCGGAATTTTTAGCCTGTGAGTCTTTAATTAATAAATAATTGCTAAATTTTTTATTTCTTATTTTTGAAAATGCTTCCTACGAGCCCTATTTGGTTATTCTTTGGAAAATTCATTGCTTTACATTGAATGCCACAGCGATTTCTGCGATAGCAGAAATGAATCCGGATTTTGCTATGCATTTGAGAAGCTATTTGATAAAGCCGGTGATTCAGCAGGTACCGTTTAATATAAATTATCTTAGCTATGATAAAAGAGAGAATAATCCGCGAATATACTGCATTTATTTAGCGGTTAGTTATTCAATTTATTATTTATTAAATATTCTTTGCTTCTCGTAGATCGAAAAGGGTATATCTTTAAGACTTTTGACGGAGATCAGACGAATCACAGTAGTATCCCTCGATATTGTTCCCGACAAATGTCCATACAATGAATTAATTCTTTTGGTTGATAAATGCTTTCTACTTTTGCACCGGTATTACGAATATTAACTGCGGAAATGACAGATTTACAAATAAATAATAGAACAATTTATTTTTATAATTAATAATGTCATTTTCGGCAATATTAATATTATTACATTTATCGGGAGAACAAAAGAAAGAGAGAGAATTACTTATTTTATTGTTTATTTAGTACAGTTACGCAATACGCAGGTTGCATCAACACAGTGAATCTATGCGAAAAAAATATTCTTTTCTCTATCGTATTTGGCATACGCGGATGCGACGACGGCGGGGACCAGTTTAAAATCGACGAGACTTGCAAAAAGGCGCTTACGTTCGCGATGCACGCATTGCAAACAGTAAAAGGCATTGCCAATGTTCAAAGCGTATTCGTGGGCGTTTCAACAGGTATAATCTTTTCAGGATAAGTGTATATTTTTTTATAGATTTAATTATCTCGTGTTTGATTATCCGAAGAATTTCTTTCAAAAAGAATTTAAACATGGGTGAGCCTTAGTAGCTCCATAAATATAATATTTTGAATTATGACTCAATTGTGCATAAATATTGTTTCAACATTATAATGCAATATAAGAATATAAGTCGCGTTTACGAATATATTTGTATTGTTAATTTAATTTCAGGAATGGCTTACTGCGGCGTGATCGGACATATTGCTAGAAAATATTACGCGGTTATCGGACCGCCTCTCGATAAAGTTATGAGAATAATGAATATTTCTTACAATAAGGTAATATTGACTTACGATTCTTATAAGATATCTAAATGTAGTCTCTATATAAAAATTAGCTAAGATAATTATTTTTATAAATTTTGTGTATTAATAACATGCAATTGTAAAACAATTTATTCCTCCCGCTCTCTCCCCAGAAAAGTTTAGTCATATTATTTTTACTACTTTCATAAAAGTTGAAAACAATTATGTTAATTATGTAAATATCTGAATAAACGTGTTTCTTGTAATCGTATTACAAGAATCACTTTCGCAGGTTTCCTGTGATTATGACACTGTAATGCACAGCCATTTAAAAAAATATCAATTTCGTTCTCGAGGCGTGAGAATATTTGGACGATCGGAAAAATTTCACGTCTACGAATATCTCGGCGATGCGCCGTGAGTATTTAAATCTGTAACATTTATAGCATAAATCTCTTGCGTGAATCACGAAGTATGTAAAAAATATGTCCTCCATATTTGAATAGGACGAAAAAAGATTTGAACACAACTGCGTCTCTGGACTATTGCTATCCTATTTTGGATAGAACGGAAGAATTGGAGTGTTTTAACAATATTTTAGATGAGATTGGAGTAAAAAATCGGAGTTATTCGGGATTGTTAATTGAGGTTCGATTTAAATTCTCCGAAAATCAAGTTTGTATGAGCATTTGTAATTCTTAATCAAAGCTACCATAGTTCACGTTAGTATTACATGATTATTATAATTATAATAATAATTTTAATTTGTAACTTTATGTAATAACGTAAATATACAATTATGTAAAATCTAAATTAAATTAAAAGCTAAATATAATTATATTTATATTATAATTATATTATAATATAATATTGAGATATATATAATTATATGGCTTTGTGGTACGACAATAAAAAGTAGAACTCAGGAATTAAACAATTGTTTTACTATTGCATGCATTGAAATTGATCAATCATTCATTTAGGGTATCGACAGATCAGGAAAATCAAGACTTTTAGATGCTTTCGTCACGAGCGTTTGCAACAGACAAATAAAACCAATTAAACTATCCCTTCACGCGACGTACGCAGATAAGGCTTATTCGGTTATACATCATATTATTCTGCAAGTACGGAATATTCGATTTATTTAATCCTACATGTTTGACAAAAATAAGTGAATTAAGAGAAATTGATAGAAACCTGTTCTGCAAACTCTTACAAATTTTTAACCATCAAAATAGAAAAAAAGGAACTATTAATTTTTAAACATAAAGATATAGAAAATTTTTCTATGTCTTTACTATATTTCTATATTTTTATATCTAGAAATATATAAAATTTTTCTATATCTTTCTATTAATTTTGATCTTTTTTTTCGCCATAAATACTTTAACTATTACAGGAGGAGAGTTGATAAAAAAAGAATAGAAAGAAAATCATATATGTTTAAACAAATTTATCATTTTAGTAACTAAAAAAACTAAATTTTCGATTTTCTATCAGTTCTTTTTTTATTACATCTAGTTTTTACAATGAAAATAAATCGCGTTGAAATCTTCTTTTGAACAGATACTTGAAGCCGAGGATTGTGACACGGTCGAAGAACGTGAAAAGGCATTGCTTGTTAAATTAGACAATATTCTCACTCTGAAAGATTTCTGTTATCTCAATGTTTTAATGAGAGTTTGTTTTTCTCTTTCCGACGCTTACTGCTCGGAATCTGATTGGCAGCGTCATATGAAGACTATTAATATCTTCGAAATGATATTAAAGCAGGCAATTTCGCAATCGTTGTTTTGTCTCAATTAAATGATTTATGACATTATTTTTAATTTGTTTCCACAAAAATTGAACGAGCATGATCATTCATTTCTCACAGTTAGGAATTAAAATCTGCATTTTGCTCGACGACATTCAGCACATGGATTACATGTCTTGGCAATTTCTGTCATCGGCTCTTGATAATAAGGATGTTGTCATGGCGATGACGATGTTGAAGCCGAATTCGTGGGAGGATCTGTCCCACGTGGAAGTAGAAATTTACAAAGACAAAAGGTTCACGAAGCGTGCGTTACTCGGTCTAGATGTAAATCTACTTCCGACATTCGCGTGTCAATTCTTGAATGTCTTTGCGATACCCAGAAAATTAAATAGGTACCGTTCGCTACCATTTATTTTTGTACATCTTAGCTGATGCAATAAGATTTCAGAGATAATTCTTCGATGGCGCACAAAAAAAATTTTTGGAAATCATGCATTATTAAAATAATGATAAAATTCTTGTTAGGATTTTACGGAGGCGCAAGGACGGCCATATCGGATGGTGCGAGGCATTGCTGACGTTGATACTTCAGAGTAACGGTTTAGACTTCATCACGATATCGCCTGAAGAAGCGGGACAACACGATCTCATTTTTACGGATACCTCCCTGGTGACAAAATTGCCGATTGATCTAACGCTCGAGGAAATTGCGCCACCTTTGTCCTGGGTGCAGATGAGCGAGTTGGATGTTTGTGTCGCGAATGAGAATTATTCCAAGATTAATGATATAGATCATGACATGAGAGGTAAATCTTATGTTGTTTCGTCTATTATTTTCAATCTTCTCTCTTCTTTTTCTAACATCGAATAAATTCCTTAGTTTTTCGCAATGCTTGCGACGAATGATTAAGTCCATGATAATATTTGAAAATGTACGGAGTTTTTCGTGAATCGTGTCGAATTCGTCATTTAAAAATTTTGCACGCAATCATTTTCTCATTAAATTTTTTTTTTTTTAATATAGAAATAATGAGCAAGATCTATCACGGGATGAACCCGTACGAGCATAGTTTTATTACGTGCGCTGCTACGTTGGGCAAAGTGTTTAAACAAAGCATGCTACAAAACGTAATGCCGAATTCAATTCCACCTCATACTATTAGCGGTGAGTATTATTAATCATGATCTATTTGTATGCGTTCTAGCTTATATGAACTTTGTGCAATTTCATAGCCGTTTCCGAAATGATTCGAATACGAATATTGGAATGCGCCTCGCTTCAGCGACGAGATTTCCACACCGAGGATCTTATCTTCTGTATAGACAAGAAGCGAAAGACATTCTCCGATATGCACCATTTACTATCTTGCCATTGCCATCATTCACGTTAGCTCAATTAAAAATATCCAACATTTAATTTTAATTAAAAAAAATAATAGCGTCTTATGAAATTTTTAATAAGAAAAATTCGAATGAAAGTTGATTTACGGAAATAATAGCAACAGCAATAAGAACAGCACATTATATAAACGCTGATTGACTCATTTTTTTATCGGTTTCTTGATTTCTTGATTTCTTGATTGACCAAATACTTGCGTTTTTATTCCAGAAGCTATCGTTTTATCCTCACCTCTTTACGCGCACTGCAAAATGCTGGAGTTCAAAGTCGATTTATTTCGCAGCATGATGTACGATATGCAGTCGAATGAAGAAAAGCAAGATCATCACGCGGTAGCGGCCAAGATATACGGTTTGGATGCACGAAAGTGCAATTCCTGTGGCAACGGGCATTTTCTACGAGTTCCCAGCAAGGATAAATTCCCCGAGGTCAAATGCGAATACTGCACTCTCGAAAAATATGTCTCACTAATAATATATAAACTAAAAAGCGTTGAATCGTTCTTACATAATTAATTTTTTCTTTGCGAGTCTTTCTCCTTCTCTGCTGAATGTATTGTTACCTTCATATTGTATACAATACAATATGCAATACAATACAATACAAAAGTATACAATACAAAAGAAGCTTCAATTCTGAATGCTTAATTCCTGCATGCTACAATTTTTTAAAGTTCCGAAATTGCTTTTTTCTTTACAATAGTATATTATCCACGTAAGCAATATAAAAATATATTAAGTTAGTTTATTATTGGAAAAATCAGAAATTCACGATTTTACATAATTAATTTCCGCAATTAATTTCTCGATGTCTTCTAATCCATTTGTTATTTATGGAGCATATTTTTATATTCGGAAAATTTTATTTGATTAACATTCCCTACTTTCACAGGAGGAAAGCCCAACAGATTCGCCTAGAGTTTCGCTAATTCGTCATCGAACCTTGATTGACGATCAAAATAACAGATCCATGAAATTAAGTATACTTCCTCCGAGTGCAATTAGCCCGTCAAAAAAGGATGAGTGCGTTGATATCCGCAGAGTGTCTATTATGCCATCGTTTCTCGATGACGAAGAGAAAGGTTGCTAACAATCCATTTATCATTTCAAGGGATTTTCGACAAATTTTATTACTATACAATAGTATACTATACAATAGTATACTATACTTCTCACAATAGCTTCGAAAAACGAAGAAAGACCTCAAGAAAATTTAACAAACAACACGCTAAGATTTTGGAAACGACCTGCGAAGGTCGCTCCAGAAACGGCGAAAGATCCTTCCTATCTAGACTATTTGGAAGAATTTAGTCACATTGATTATCGCAATTGTCAATGTGATAATGTCATCAGTCATCTTTTCTGGAAGTTGCATCGGCACATTGAAAACTGTGGTAAAATTACCAGCATTTTAACTGCATAAAGATAGTTTAGGAACATTTCATGTAAATGAAAAGAAACTATTATTATTATAGTATTTATCCGTCGATATGCCCTCAAATTATCTTGCTTATTATAAAGCAGTTCTTTTTTTTTTTTTTACACACAGTTATATATTATATGTACGAGAAACAATATAATCGGACTATATATATAATTTTATTGGCATTGATTTATTTTAGGAGAAATCGATAAAGTGCTCGATTTCTTTATGGAATACAGTGCCGGACTCATCCAAACTGCGCAACCACTTTATGCCATTAAATTGCTTTCAATTGCCACTGAAAAGAATGAGGCTGCCGAGATAGGCGAATGGATAGATGACAACGTAGAAAAAAGTATCACGAATAAAGGAATTATCCTAGCTTTAATGGGTCTGTATACAGATTATTGTGTGTTACTTTTATTTTTAGAGAACGGGAATTTGTTAAATTTTTCGCGCGCACGCATCGTTGTTTAATCTGAATACAACTTATTCTATTATCGAAATTATCAAGGGAAAAATGCAATTCAAATAAAAAAATAACGTAAAAAAAATAATCAACACAAACCTCACGAATTTTTGCATTTTACTTATTTTATGGTCACAGTTTCGCAGAAATTTCTTCCATATTATTAGTGTGTATACTATAATATTAATTATTATTCAGGCGACGCACATAGCGCGTTGGGAAATTATGATCAGGCTAAGAAGTATTATGCAACAGCAGTGAAATTGCGAGGTACTCTGCTCAAAACGAAGAAAACTATCTGTTACCGTATAATGTCGAAAATATATTGTCAAATGCAATATCCTCCTCACTATTTGATTAATGAAGTATCGAGGCAAACTATTGTAAAGAAATTGGAACTAGCGTCATATTTGCGTCGTCTTTGTGTCGTGTATATGGTACGTAGTGATTTATTAAATTGAGATTAAGAAAATTTGTCGTCTTTATTAAAAATAAAACAAAAACTGTAAAAGAACGAGATTGAAAAATAAATATATATTAAATGCGTAAATTAAAATACTAATTAAAATACATACATATATATATATATGATTAGCTTTCCAAATTTTTTATCCAGTGTAAGTGTCTCAGTTTTTGTTTTTTAAAAATATCAATACAGCCATATATATACATATATATTATTAGCTTTTCAAATTTTTTAACCAGAGAGAAAAAATGTTTCTCAATTTTTTTTTTTTTTAGATGTAAATCAATAATTTTATTCAAATAGAGAGCATAATAAAAAGACGACAAATTATTTGCATCGATATGTAATGTCTTAAATTATTTTTATTACTACTATTTTATATTATTATTTTATAGTATTATTATTATTTTTTTCTCCTTCTATTTACGAATCCTCTTCTAAATAAGACGTAATAAGAGCAATAAATTGAATAAATTATGTATCACTCACTCTTTAATTGTTGCTCCGCTCTCGCCTGAATCTTCTCAGAATCTTTTCTTCCTTCTTTTTCTTCTTCTCTTCTTTGTTCATTTCTTGCTGCTCCTTCATGGCACTTGCAAGTAATTACGATTGCGCACTAATTAGCAGGACGCGTGACATTTTGCACGGCACTCCCGATATTGTTCGACGTTGACACGCGACAATTATTACATAGTAAAACAACGCAAGAATTAAACTTAAAGTTTCGCAAAAAATAGTATTTGGAAATATGTCGTCAGCTTTGCTGATTATTCGCGTGATAGATATCGATCCAAGAAAATACGCGAACACAAATAGCACGCAATATATCTATTATTACTAAATCGATATATCATGCCTTCCGTTATTCGATTCGTTGATTTATATGTATTATTCTACGCTTCTAATCTCTCTTCAAAATTTTGGGTCTATTATACTTAAATAGGCGGGGGTCTATTATACTTAAATAAGCTCAAAGCACGATTTATTGCGAAATATATGCTCCGATAAATACATAATTATTGTCGCGGTACTTTTACGCATCATTTATTGAGGGAATTAATCGTATAAATTAATAAATGCTAATAATCATAGCGATAATCACGTTCAACGTCTTCGAATATTTCACGCGACTGCGTCTCTCAAGGTAAAATGATGCTACACGGAGCTACCTGCCCGCTCGAATCTCGACACGTGAATGTCAACAAAGCGACACGTATAGGTGTATATAAATAATAGCGCGACTGGTATAGATGTATATAAATAATAGCAGAAAAATACCGAGTTTTTTGACGTATAACGTACCATTTTATATATGTTTGTCTTATTGGAACAAATATTTTCACAAGTATGATCTTGAATTGTATCTCTACGCCTATAAGAAATTTTTAACCCATTTTTAATTATTAACTCGTATCAAAATGGACTTTTTCAAAATAAAGAAAAGTTTTATAATAATTTTTCTATAATTATTTATAGATAGAAAATAAATTGAGGACGGCGCAAGCTTATGCCTTGAGAAGTTTCAAGCTGGCTTTTTCAAGCCTTGGTAGTTTTCTGGAAAAAGGCGAAATATATCTCGTGACAGTTCAAGTTTTGCATCGCATAAAAAATACCGAGTTAATACGACATATTGAGAGACCGATGCTTGCCGAAATAAAAGCAAAGATTAGCTGGCACAATGTCGAAGAAGTAGCGATGGTGGGAAAGATCTATCTAATGATGTATCAAGTTAGGTATATAATTCAAACGTATTAAAAAATTTTATGAACAGCTCTCTCTTTTGAATAAATCTAATTGTATATGTGAAAACAGAGCGCTAAGAGGTGAATTGGAAGAAGCTATAAATATTGGTATGAAGGTTCTAAAAATCTCTGGAGCATTGCATCTTAATAAATTGATGCTTGTTATTGTGCCATCGTTAACTCAAATAATGGTATTATTTGCTTGCAAATCTTCTATTCATATATAAATTTCTTAAACGTTAATATACTTTTTAAATAGATTTCCTAAAAGATCCAAAATACATTATGCAAAGAATTATATGAGATGGCATATTAATCTCCCGTACATTTTCAGATATTCTTGCGGATGATTTTTGGATCTTTTATATTGTTTAAGATAGGCATAATTATTCATTTTTTACCCCCCATAATATTCTTTTTCGCTTAATAACCCGATCAGCTATGGACTAAACGTATTAACGAAGCTGTCGATTTGATACAAGAGCTATACTTTTTAGCAGAGGAGGACGTAGACTTGTCAGACAAGACGTGGTATTATGCTCTTTCTTTGCAGTTTATATTGGACGCAGGTGTAGTACTAGATTCGTACGAAACGTTCTATAAGTATTATGAAAAATGTGTAGGTAAGAAACACATTACGATTTATAAAAATGCATTAAAATTTATACAAAGAATTTCTCGTTATTGATGATTTTACGCATCCACATTTTATTTTAAATTGTAATTATTTTAACATGCATAAAAAAATGATTACGTAGCTCGAAAAGACTCGAAATTTTGTGTATGGCGCGATCCGCAAAGCTTGTGCCGCTTATTGACATGCCTGTGGTTATACCAGCTTAGAATGTAAGTATTCAATTATTTCTTTTTCATTATCGGTTCTCTTTCCCACTTCTAATGTGAGAATGCAAAAATAGATAACTGAATTTTAAGCTATTTATAAGCTTTTAAAATTTGCAAGTTATAAATTTATGGCTCATTCTTCATCATAAGTTTATTTATATCTTCATACTTTTATAAAAAAGATCTCTGCTATCTAAAATGAGCTCAAAATTATTAACCTGCATTGTTTAAAAATAAATAAAAGGATATTTTAAATTTAAGATATAGTTTCTATATTTTTTATATTCTTCTATAATTTCGAGAAGTAAATGATTGAATAGATTTATTATGATATGATCATTGATAATTGAAAGATATTATATACGCAGGGGACACACGATTACTGACGCGTTTACGACCAGGGCGGAAGAATTTATAAAGAATGTCAGTTGCGACGATTTTTCCCGAATTTTTACTTGCATCAAGGTATGCTTGCGAATTATTAAAGATCCACGTTTTTTTCAATTGTGATACATTTTTTTTCTCTTCTTATACATATATTATATATGAATTAAGAATCTGTGGATTATTCTCTTCTCCAGATAAATTCATGAAGTTCTAGAAACTTATAGTTTTAAATCTATTACAAATAAGTCTCAAGATTAACATTATCAAATATATGTCCTTTACTGATATATATGCCTTTTCTGCCATTGTCAATGATAAATTATATATTAAATAAAAATGATTACCTTCTTTCAATCGCTTTAATGCTTCTTTTGCAGGGACTTGAATGTTATCTATTGATGCTGCTCAGTTGCATCAATATGAAACAATCTGACAACCTATCGAATCTAATTCAAGATATTTCCAAAATTATCAAATGCTTCGAGAACATTTCCAAGTATGCGATGGTCGTAAAACCGCGTTTGTATTTGCTGATGGCGTACCTAAATGTTCTTCGAGGTCGCAAATCGACCACGCGATTTTATCTGCACAAAGCACAAAAATTTTCGATTTCGCAGGGAAACAAACTGATAGAAGCATGGATCATGCAAAATAAAAGGGTAATACATTTAGTTGAAAATAATATGCTTCATGATTAACTGATAACCTAATAAGTTAAGTTGATTAAATCTTTGATGTAATTCCTTTTGCGGAAAATTTGCAGATAACTTATAATTGAATGTTTTAAACAATCCGAATAAATTTTTGTTGCAGACGTGGAAAGAGAAGATTTATAATAATATGGCGCGATACTGGGTGGAGTACATTGAATCGCCAGATTTCGTGGCTTGGCAGTATATTCAGCACTTTAACATGACCACTTGGTCCACTATTCTCTATCCTTTACCGACACCTGATTCACATTTATAACAAAAAAATGTAATACTGTTCGACACATTATTTTTTATAGCGTTACATTACTCAATCGCAGTCTATGATTATCTTTATAGACGCTGGTTGAAAGGACATAATAGATGTTGTAGCGAAATATTTATTTATTAAAGGCATATTACATTTTTATGTTCTAAAAGATAAACACGACGATCCCTTCGTGCGCACGATACTTCGTCAAGGCGAAATTTCCTCGATTCTTTTCCTTTTTTCCACAAGTGACCTCCGCGCATGATAAATCTTAATCGCGACAGCAATGTCACGAATTTGCTTAAATACGGATATCTTCGGTGACCGATGTTTACGCTTACATGTCGATGATTAATTATTACGTACTGCGATTTAATTAATTGCTCTATTTGGCCGAATTTGGCCGAGTACGTCAAGGATGTTTGCGAATTCGAGAAAGAGAGAAAGAGAAAGATGGAAAAAGAAAAGAAAAGTTACAAAAGAGAAAAGTTGAGGGGAGAACACGAGAAAAGTGAAAAGAAAGGTGCGCTCGATCGATCCTTTGACGCGACTTTACACGCACGATATCGTCGCAATTTTGATTTTAATTAATTTAATTTAATTTATCCCATATATATATATACGCGCGTCTCGCCGATTCAACTACGTCGTTTTATACATTCATTTATAGCACCGGCCAAAATTCGCCGTTACTTAGAGGAAATTAATAGAATTTTACAAAGAAAAGTTTATATAAATTATTTCTTCGCACACCAAGCGCCAAAAATATTTTTTTCCCTTTCCAAAAAAAAAAAAAAATATTTTAAGCTGCTACTAATTAATTTTTCGTTCACAAACCTTACTGCTGATGAATACACTGGTGTCTCGATTCGTTAAATATTCAGTGCAGTTATAGATGCATTTTTAATACAATTCATAGTGGACGTGAAAATTTTGCAGATCTTTTTTCAGCATAGAGCTCTCTTGCATCGACGTACTCGGCCCGAATGTGTGCCCATTTGGGACACATACGTGTAATACTTGAAATTATTTGCCCGAACAGAAGAGTGTCTCCCCTCTTTCGCGCATATTGCCGCATCCCCGAACAACGCAAAAGTCCAAAAGAGATATTCAAAATAAATCAAAATGTCTAAGAGAAAAAATGATATTTTAAGCTGCTACTAATTAATTTTTCGTTCACAAACCTTACTGCTGATGAATACACTGGTGTCTCGATTCGTTAAATATTCAGTGCAGTTATAGATGCATTTTTAATACAATTCATAGTGGACGTGAAAATTTTGCAGATCTTTTTTCAGCATAGAGCTCTCTTGCATCGACGTACTCGGCCCGAATGTGTGCCCATTTGGGACACATACGTGTAATACTTGAAATTATTTGCCCGAACAGAAGAGTGTCTCCCCTCTTTCGCGCATATTGCCGCATCCCCGAACAACGCAAAAGTCCAAAAGAGATATTCAAAATAAATCAAAATGTCTAAGAGAAAAAATGTTTAAAAAACATCTAAAACACATCCGCGCGAAAGATTCGGATGTTGTTTTCACATCTATATCTACGAAATGTCCGTGAGAAGGATTAAGGTCTCGTTTAGGCCTTCTCGATCGCGTCTTTTGGACGTTCGTGTTGATCCGGGTCCTCGTCCGATCCGGGATTCTCCCTGATCACAACGAAGTTCAAAACTTGCGTCCGCTCATTCGTGGGCGTCGACCTCGTTGTCGATGCGACTGCTACGTATACCGGTCTTGCCTGTCCAGGGATAAATGTCCGGGCATGCTTGGCACGTCTTCATGTACCGCACGCCGCTCTTGTGCCAAAGATTACAGACCTTCGCGTTATTGCATCTCTTGGGTCGGTCCTGCGCACACATTTATCGCGATGCAATGGAAATCTTATATTGGGAGATCGCGCGTAAAAGAGTGTTCCTCAACAAACATTTCTTATTATTAAAGATAGATTTTTAGAAAATCAAAATCCTAATATTTTAAAGCTTTTGTTAAATAATTTTTAACTTGCAACGTTATACTCGTCCAACACATTTTAACTGCAGCTATCTAAATATAAATTAAACAGTTTAATATTTTATTGAAGGAAAAAAAATAATAGAAAACTTGAATGTATCGTAAATAAGTTATTGGTAAATAACAGAGATTTCAGTAGACTGCAAGTAATTTTACCGGATAATGGCATCCAAAGGGTTCGAACGTGTGTAAAAGCGCCAGAGGCGTTGGATTCCTGATCCATTGTATGGCCTGCCAATTGGTAATTATCCATACATCGTCCATCGCGACGATGGTATCGAGAAACGATATAAAGCCTTCTTTATGATGTGGCTGAGTGAACCACGCGGCATGGTAGAACAGGCCGAAAGGCGCCCTATATTTCGTGAGAATACAATCAAATCATCTGTTTTATCCCGAATATATTTACGAAAATATTAAGATGAATAATTTGCAAGATAAGAATATTTTAATTGTTTTTCGGAAAACCTACACGATAGAGCTTTCCTAATGTGAGATCTTGACTCAATTCAAATTTATTGAGATAACCAGATTTTATGCAAAAAGTAGAAAAAATTGAATTTTGTTAAACAACATAAATTGGTATATATATGTATTAATATTATATATTTTCCTACATCAAAAATTTTTAAAAATCTTCCCCAAAAGTCACACACAAATACATTTTCAATTTGAGAGCCTCAGACGTCAAATCGTAAACTTATAAAAAGTTCAAAAGCGAAATGTTAAGAACATTGATATCTGCTAAAGAAATCGATCACATAATTTTTCGATTATTTATTTTAACAATTGTATTCACGGATACGAAATGTTTCACCAACCTGTTAGTCGTGTAATGCCTCTCAAAGTTTTTAATGAGCATCTTGTACACGCCGTCCGGAGTCGGTGGGTTGCTGCAGGCATCTCCCATGGAGCACCTACCTCCATTGAGATCTTGCCACATTACCATAGGAACTTCCCACAATCCTGGATAGGATCTCGTGGGACAGGGTGGTATCATGCAGTCGTGGAAGAGCTTGTAATCCAGCGTGTACGGCCAACTGGGCGGTCGATTCTCGTAAATTGGCATGGAAGAGTCGTATGTGAAGTTTGTGTCCCACAGCATCTTGAACATATTGTTTCCTCCGACCTGCAACATAAAACAGTGTTACATAGCAATAATTTGTTCCCTTGAACGGTGAAGAAATTTTTCGTAATCTTATGGAAGGGATCTCATTGAAAAGGAGACTATATCGGAATCGAATTTTTTTCTGCTTTTAATCTCAATTTTCAACTTGACATCTATTTTGATATTTTAAATAATAAAATCACTCTTTTACAACTATTTAATTTATAGTTATGTTTGTTTACAAAAATTGTTTGTTTACTGTCTATATTTGAGGTTCAAAATAGAAGCTTTTAATTCCTATATAAATTAAGCATATTGAAATTCTGTAGATGTCATAAATATGAAAAAATTGAGGTTGAAAATAGAAACAAAATTTCAACTTGGATAATCACATATCTTTTTTTATCGTATATAATATTTTTCAATTTTATACGACGCTGATAAATATAATTCAAATTACCGATAAGAAAGGAGCTCTCATTCCTCTGACGTCCTCCAGCTTGACGCCTCCGTACGCAGCCAGAATTTCACGCTGTCCAGCAACTTCTCGCGCCCACTTTCGCGCCGAAAATTGTTCGCCGAAACTGTGCCTGTCGTGAGGATTTATCGTCGTATCGATCATTCGAATAATAAAGAATTAACTTTTACGGCACACGAATCCTAAAATGGCTGACGATACGCGTCGTAGAAACATTTTTCTTTTTTTCTCTTTTTTATTATATAAAGTCGTTAAAGCACACATTTTGTTGGAATGCTACTTTTATAAAACGACGATATCAAAAACTAAATCACAAAATATTTAAGTCGAGAAAAGATGAAAATGATTTTGTAAAAAAAAAGTTTGTTTATTATATCATTATAATTTTTATATCAGTTTCTAAAATTGTAATGTAGAGCGCATCGGAAAATTAAAAAGATACGACAAGTACATTGCGAAAATCAGTTCTAGATCTATTTGAATTGTTATTCAAATTAACATGATGAGATCTGTGGGATATTCTGCATATGAAATGAGATAAAAGTCCTCGAACGTGCGTGTCGTCACCCTAATTAAGAAACGTTGCGCGAAGAGCGAAAGCGATTTATCAATCAATCCAACAAGCAACAGTATGACTTGTTAACTCTTTCATCAGCGAAACAAGCCTGCGTTAATTTCGACACCGAAGAACGGCATGTGAAAAAAAGCGATAATTGTTTGACGACTTTAATGATCGTAATTAATTTGCACCTATCCGCGTTAGTGTTAATGCGCCAATGATATGAGTGATTGTAGAATAAGCGTGATTTTTCGAAGTCATCACTCAAGAATTGTGTGTTAATTACAAGGACAAGAAAATTTTGGATATCTTAATAATTAACTTACTAACTTTGTGTATATTTTTGTCTATAATGTTCGCTATCGTTAAAACATACGGCTCAATTATAATAAAATCGTTTAGTCTTGATATTTAATTGCCATACAATATACCTACATTAAATTACACAATTTACATATTTTATTCTAATTTTTAAAAAATTTAATTGTAAAAATATAATCAATAAATAATAAATAAATATCAAATATGCAACAGATTCATGGAATATCTCGTAAAAATATCTGATACAGATGGCCAAGCAATATCAACAATTGCAACATTATTTACATATCACTCGCGCGAGGTTCTTTTAATAAAACATAACTGAGAATCATGCTATTTAGCGCGATGACGATTCTCGCAGATCGCCGTATGACGATTCGATTACTTACGAGACCGTGTGGGAAGCAATCTCATGGCCCGAGGCATAGAGATTTTGAACCTGGCTGTAATCAGTCCATTCATGGGACACGTAGAAGGTGGCCGAGATGGGACAACCATTGGGGTTCTTCCGTCCCTTCTCGAACAAGTCGGTGTAGAGACCCTTGTTCAAGTCGTTCACGGAATCGTCGAAAGTCAGGAGAACAATTTGCGGTATCTCCTCCGGCAAGTAGTCACCTATTCGTTTTAGGATCGCGTTCAGGATCCAGGGCACGAAGAGAGAAAGAAAGAGAGAGGAAATGGACACAATGGAAGAATCGGGACACGCGTTCGAGATCATGTTGAAATGTATGTTAAATATAGAATTTTTTTTTTTTTTTTGCAAACATATCGGTGTGATAGATTTTTTTTTGAGCGTTTTTTATATGCCATGTGTGTGAAGATGTACCAGTTAGAGGAGCGCGTGATGGGAATGAGGAATATAACGAGGCGTGAAAAGAGAGAAAGAGAGAACAACAGAAGAGTTAGTACACGCGTCATATATTAGTATGCGACGCAGGTGTCGTACCCACCTGGTGAAACCGCGTGTTTTACGGCGTGTCATTATCAGACCTCGCGATTCTAGAGATCGTCAATCTCGCGTTCGATGAAGATTCGCAATTGCGGTTTTACCAGGTGTGTACGATAATTTGCGTTTTTGTCATTTCCACGAGGGATCCTCTAATTGTACAGTGCCGATTTCAAAGATAAGGGCTGTTTTTAAAATAATCAAAAATTTATTAACAATTTTTTAAAGAATTATTTAAGAGTCTAAAGACGAGGGTGCAAGCCTTGCAATATTTTAAAAAATCTCGAAATTTCAACATTAAAGATCCTCGGAATCTAGTAAATCTATCTGAAAAGTCCGAATATTCAAGAGTTGAAAAACTCTGAAGGATTTCTAGAATCTAAAGATTAAAAAGAATCTAGTATTCTGAGAGATTTCTTAAATCCAATAATAGCAAAATTCAAAAAACAACATTTAAACGTCCTGTCTCCGATTACATCGAATTAGAGGATCCTTCGCAGGCAAGTTCTTTCTCGATTGAACATCTGTTCGAGACATTCCGATCTTCCTCAGGAAGATGATCGAGTGAACACAGACGCGATAGTAGAAATCAGACGATGAGATGATATTCGAGCCTCGTTCCTCCACTTTTGGTTAAAACAGCAGCGCGATGGTATATGCGACACACGGTGTTAATAAAAAAATCTATGTTTGCATCCGGTCTTGATACGAACTTACGAGACAGTGTGAGACGCCATTTCGTGGCCGTCTGCATAGAGATTTTGCACCTGGCTATAGTCTGTCCATTCGTGCGAGACGTAAAAGGTCGCCGAGATCGGGCAGCCGTTCGGATTCTTACGGCCGTTTTCGAACAGTTCGCTGTACAGGGGTTTGTTAAGGTCGTTTACGGCGTCGTCGAAAGTAAGCAGAACGATCTGCGGCGTCTGCACGACCGGAATACCACCTGTATGTCACAGTTTCATCGTGTAGCTCGTGAATAGAATTGGCCGGCACGGACGCGTCACGCGTTTCTAGAGTAGATATATCGCTGAATGATCAACGAAACTGATATGTCATTGCTCGGTGAAATGGAGAAAATTTATATTCCTATTTCTATAATATTTAATGTAATATAATCGCGCACTTTTTCGAAAACAGGAACACGAAAGTACCGATTTCTCTACGTGCTGATTATGATATTATAAATTAAAATCATCATTTATTGAAGATAGTAAATTATTCGGGTAATGTATTATCTTGTCAGAATCATCTCAATATCTTTTTTTTTTTTCATCACGCCAATTTTAACTACGCTGTTTACGTAAAATGAATAGCATTTACAAATTAAAATCCTTATAAAAATTAAATCTTTTAGCCAATAATTTTTCTTATTATTTATTTGTGTATCTACTTCTGTCTATCGCAACTCGTGTATTAAATACATTCTCTGGACTTGAAGACTATTTAAAATCCAGAAAGGACATGAATCAGAATCCAGAATCTTGGAAAAATATTATAAATCAATGACTCTCAAAAGTGACGATCTTTCGAGCATAAATATTTTCAAGAAACCCGAATAAAAATTCCAACAGTAAGAAGATCATGAGATATGCTTCACTTATTCACGAATTGGTACAAACATAATTTTCTCGACAGGTCATCTCTTTCGGCAAAAGTAAAACGCAATATTCAACGATCGCGGCAACGAGATCGAAATTTTAACGGCCATATTTTACGCGTAAACCGAATAATCGGGTGTTGCGCTGGTTAAGTGTCCGACGAATGCCTTCCGCGAATGCAAATTGCTTTCAATTTCGAAGGGCGACGCACGCTACGAGCCGGCATATCGTATCGGGCGGTAGATCTGTTTCACTTTCGAGCGTACCGTGTAACGGTCGGCGTGTATGTAATGTTAGAGAATCGGAGAAAGTCACGGCGAGACCCCGACTACGTCTAAACCATACGTCAAACTTAATAAACATTCGCGGCGCGCGATCCGCTTGCGTCACCCGCGAATTTTTCGCCGACCGGCGTATTTCTCACGCCAGATAATCGATTTGTCATTGATTGATCGAGGACGAGAATTCTTCGAACGAGATATTCACCATACAGGACGATATATCGTCCTGCTTCCTTATTTACATTCAGCTGGCTAACGTCTCAACTTCCGGCACGCGGAATGCAAACTCTTCCGTCTTATATTTTCTAGTTCGCACAACGTCATTTCCGGTCTACTTAAGCAGCCAGAGGAATCGAATTGATCAGTGGTTCAAATCATTTTTGTAGAGAATCACGTTGGACGTATTTAAGTTTCATAATCTCTCTGGTTTACTTTAATCGCACCTTGAAATTGAATTTTTATGTCTTCTAGAGTCGAAAGTAGAAAGAGTTATAAATTTAGGTCAAAATTAACCGACGATTTCGACCAAAGTCGAATGAACCATCGTGCGTTTTCTCTATAAAAATCCGATTGTCATTATGGCGCTTAATTACCTGGGATATCGGCGCCTCCGCAGTTACAATCTGGAAGTAAGCAGACATCCTTGCGACACTTTGCCGCAGGTTTGTCAACTTGGGGCGTCGGATAAATTGTTGCCGGCCTCGACGGGGGATACCTGTAAATGTCAACGAACTCCTGCGCCTTCGAAACTATCTCGGTGGACGGTTTCAAGGTAGGTCGTGATCGTCTGAAAACATTAAATATTTTACAAAACAATTATTAAGTAATATATATTATTAATTCTTTCTAATTAAATAAATTATTTGTTACAAGTAGGTATTATTTGTTATTTTTATTTTCGATACAATATCAATAAATTTATGTACGCTAAATTCAACAAAAATGCAGCACGCTTCTCAAAATCAATCTCAACGAATTTTAATAAAATTTCGCGTTTTCGGAGAAATCATTGAAAGCAAGTAGTCTCGCGGTATCGCGTCTCATCGCGGAACATTCGCGGATCTGTACTAGTGGTATCGTATATCAGCTAGATTGTGCTTCGTTGAAGAAAGTGATTTGATAATGAACTTACGGCGGTGCCGTGCCCCGATGGATCTGCTGCGGTCGACCTCGGCTGGAAAAGAAGAGGAGCAAAATTGGAGCGTAAGATAAGATCCGAAGGATTTCCGGCTGCGCGTGGATGAAGAAAATTGTGCGTTTAAACTACGTGGCAGAGAAAGCGCGTAAGCGAACGAGGGACGTCGTTTTGCCGGCGAAATCGGGTCTCGGCCGGCGGAAATCGGCACAGGGCCGTTCTTTTCACATTTTGCGCCATGCGCACAAATCCTCGGTCTAACGATAAAGTAAAAATTTTCTTTCTCGTCTGTCCGCTAAATCGTACGAAAAAGAATTTGCAATATGCTGAAGAATCACTGATAAAGTTGCTTCATGTAGAAATAAAAAGAAGTTAAAATAAAAATAGATTGTACTCGTTTTCATCAACTCGATTTCGATTTACTTTAAATTATAATGAAGAGACCATATATATTTTATCTAAATAAGCAGGCCGAAAAAGCCTACCATACGAATATCCGACTTAACGCTTTTTAATTCTTTTAATTTTTTATATATCGTTAATTTCTTTTTATTGCGGGATATTAATTAAAATTGTGGCGAGATAATTAAAATTATACCTCGGCGCGTTGACGGTGTAAGGTCTGCTGGTCGTGCTGGGAGTTTGCGTGCTCGTAGTCAGCGGTATGAATGTATCGACGATGACGTTCGGTGTTGTTACGTGGACCACGGGATGGCTGAGCACGTTTGTCCTGCATTCGTAAATAAATTAATAAAATCGCGTAAAATCGTACAGATTTCTCTTTTCGATACAACTGTCGGGTAATTCTATCTTTATACTCGGATTCATGCAAATAAAAAAAAACTAGCAAGACAAGTCTTGAATTGAATGTCGTACCTCGCACGATGACTATTTTTAATGATGATTAGATCAAGCGTTTGTATGAACATCGGCATATTTAGATGATAAATCACGATGAGAAGAGTACATCCATTAGCAAAAACGCGATAAAATGCAACATGATTATACAATTAAACGATAATTTTCGATAATAATTTATGATAGAAACAATACTTATTATGTCTTTAAAAACAATTATTATATATATATATATACTTATTACATAATAAAATAATTATCGAAAATTATTATTCTAAATGCGCAGTAATTATTTAGCGTGTCCGCTTATAATTTTAATTGAACTCGCCGAATAACCGCAAAGAGCAATCGATTAACCGAAGCAATTTCTTTACCTGTACTGTTGACCGTCGGATATACGGAACTTGTTTTTATTGAGTTGAGCCTGAAACATAAAACGGAAACCAGGTTTAAATATTTTTTCTAGCCAGGATAGAGAACAAAATACTTTTTTCAATTTCGTTCAAATTTTTGCTGCGTGAAATATATCTTCGAACCTGATTTTCGTAGATATCGTAATCGTCCTGATTGAGATTGTACTTATCCGCCTCGTTCACAGCGACCTTCTTCGGCTTCTGGTATTGCTTTGTGTTAACTTCGCTAATTTTTACGTTTGGCTGCTGCACCGGCACCGATTGGTTGATAGTATATTGATTGTAATCTATATAAAGTGATATAAAATTATCACAGATCACATTAATAAGTGGAAAATTAAAATAAACTCTGCTTATTATCTTTCGATATTTTAACATTATAAACTTTTTAATATTTTACATACTTAATATATTTTTGGTAAAAAAATATACATTGAACAAATTTTAAAAAATTAGATGCAAGCTAAAGTATATATAGGACTGGAGATTTTATTTAATGTATGTTTTTCATTTCTTTATATGCTTCGGCCGAAGTTAATTTAAAATGCAATCAAATACTTGGGACAGTATATAACAAATAAACTATTGTTAATTATTATCACGAGAATATAGAGAAATGTTTCAAAAATAACTGAAAAAAGATATACAAAAGATTCAATAATCGTATAAGTTTTACTGCTTACCATCGTCCTTGTAAATAGAAACATCGTCATCATAGATTGTATAGTACGGATAACTTTGATCTGGATCGCTATAGTAAGCCTTGGATAGGACCGGCGCGACGGTTGAAGCCAGAGTTTTGGCAAGTCTTGGCGATTCAGAGGTTGAAACGGGGGTTCTGAAACACGCAAATATAAAAGATTACAATGATTTTCACACGATAAAAGTATCTTGATTTATGTTATCATAAAAAATTTTAATCAATGCAAAAGTATGATTGTTGCGCTAGCGTAAAAGTTTCGAGGAGAAATCACGGTCAAATTAAAAGTTTTGCCTCATCGCAACAAGCACTACCTTCTCAAGAATGATTTTGTTACCAACCTGTAATGAGTCTCGGCTTGGGCACGTGCGTTCACCAGGCTATCCTTCTCTCTCTCCTTAAAAAATTAGATGCAAGCTAAAGTATATATAGGACTGGAGATTTTATTTAATGTATGTTTTTCATTTCTTTATATGCTTCGGCCGAAGTTAATTTAAAATGCAATCAAATACTTGGGACAGTATATAACAAATAAACTATTGTTAATTATTATCACGAGAATATAGAGAAATGTTTCAAAAATAACTGAAAAAAGATATACAAAAGATTCAATAATCGTATAAGTTTTACTGCTTACCATCGTCCTTGTAAATAGAAACATCGTCATCATAGATTGTATAGTACGGATAACTTTGATCTGGATCGCTATAGTAAGCCTTGGATAGGACCGGCGCGACGGTTGAAGCCAGAGTTTTGGCAAGTCTTGGCGATTCAGAGGTTGAAACGGGGGTTCTGAAACACGCAAATATAAAAGATTACAATGATTTTCACACGATAAAAGTATCTTGATTTATGTTATCATAAAAAATTTTAATCAATGCAAAAGTATGATTGTTGCGCTAGCGTAAAAGTTTCGAGGAGAAATCACGGTCAAATTAAAAGTTTTGCCTCATCGCAACAAGCACTACCTTCTCAAGAATGATTTTGTTACCAACCTGTAATGAGTCTCGGCTTGGGCACGTGCGTTCACCAGGCTATCCTTCTCTCTCTCCTGAAATATACACGTGACACCTTAATCTCAATAGTCACCTTGCAGTTTCATTGAATTGTTATATTCATTGCTAATTAATTAAATTTATTTCAACATTAAACGGACCCGTTTATTATTTCCTATTCAATGCGACTTTCTATAGGCTAAGGAATTCTCGATGTCGCTCGTAAAACTATCTATGCGATCTTATCACGCATAGCAGCATTAAGAAACACGTCCATTATCGAAATAGTTTGGCAACTCGTTTTTAATCATTTATAATTATTACACAAATTATATTATGCATAACTTGTAAAAATATATATTGTATATAAAATAAATCTTAAAATATTATCGTAATTATTTCAATCTTACAATTAGAGGTTTTTATTTTAGAATAAAATGTCAAATAAAATTTTTACAGTATTATAAAAATAAAATGTAGTGCATGCAACAAAACTTTTATATCATGCACATTTTTATGAAACATTATTATCACCGGTATTTTTTATATAAACCAAATGATCTTTTTACGCAAATAGATTTTTCTCTCTCTAATCATAATATACAATATAAAATATCTAGGAAAATATTTGCACTCTTTTAATGATATTATTTTAATTTATTACACATTTATTACAAATGAAATAAATTTGTTTGGTGTGAAAAAACGCATAATCCCATTTAAAAAAAAATATGCGATTGAACGTTATGGACGCAATACTACATCTGTTTAAAGATAGGGAAGGGTCAAACCACTCTACTCGTTATTTCGTGAAAAGTGTAGCAAATACTTTAGCAAATGAGTGAATGCTTTATGCTGAGGCTCACCGAGATTATATTCCGGCGAAGACCATCACGGTCGCGTTGCACTTGACCGATTGTCGAAGGTTGTCCCCGGTATACTCGTTGTTGCCGATCGTTTTCGATCTCCGACGCGGGACCGTATTCGTCCTCGTGATAATTCGTCCTGGAATGCTGCCGCTGTCTCAACTGCCTCTCGGTGATCTGCGAAATCGGCGGCGACGTACTCGTAACCGCGATCGGCTGCCTCTGGATCGACCGTTGTTGCTGCTCTCGTTGTTGTTGGTCTCGTAATTGTTGTTGCTGCTGTCGTTGCTGTTGCTGATCCTGCAAAGTCTCGAGTTTCGCGGATCTACAACCGCGACGATTCGATTTTGAGAATAATCGGTTTGATCGTAGGGAAAAGAAATATGTTTCTTTCAAAAAAACAAGTGTAAAATTAAATAATAAAATTAAATATCTATCCAATAAATATCTAAATAATTAAAAATATTTAATAACCTAAATAATTAAATATTTTTTTAATATACATATATTTAATATGTTTGGTAATATATCGTTCGTGCAAAAAAAAATGTTTAATAACGTTTGTCATCCTGTTTGTTTATTTATTAAACTCAACAAATGTTTAATTTAACATGAAGAATATAGTCGCATTTAATGCATGATAAACGAGATTCATACATCTTCGTACAAGAGTCGCATAGAAACATAACAGAAGAGAGAGAAAATAATAAATATTCCCAACTGAGGGGAAGGAATGATCGCAGAATATATAAGTATGTATCTGCTTTCATTTCTACGTCGCATCGTTTCGAAACTAACGGTGAAACGTCCTTTTCGTTAAAAATCCTCGCAAGGAGAAAGATGTCATACATCGGCGATTATATATGATACTTAGAAATTGTCTCTTGCTGAAGTTTTCTTTTTAAATGGCAAGGACACCCGGAATTCGAGATGAAGCGCAGACGGATGAGAAATTCTTTCCCGATTACTCGTATACAATAGATTAATGAATACCCAGGCGCAAAATTGCCCAACTTTGGATTTATATAACAAGAGACTCAGCTGTGCCGCTATGTTGCACAAAGAGACTCATTCTCATACAAATTGACCGTACTTTTATTTACACACGTAACGGAGAAAAGGGAATTAATCCTAACATGTGCAATTGCACATTCACTTCATCTCTCTCGCTGTTCCTGCATGTTAGCTTCTCTGCAATATTTATGCAAGAATAATAAAAATATCTCAACGATGTGTTACGAATATATTATATACTTTCTTAAATATTCATATACGTCATTCTAATATAATGATGATCAATCATGGATTATTGTGTGTGTGCGAAAATAGCACAATAGTGCTTCTTATCGTATTATTTTCTGAACAGATAGAATAACGGTCTCTCGCAGACAAACTCGAGGATTTTTTTTCTGTACAAGTAGCAATTATATCTTAAGTTAAAGTAATCTGCGTTGGAGATTAATGATAATCGAAACGCGGGGAAAGCAAATCCCGCGAGAATCTGCAGGCGGAACAAAGTGGCTTCTACGCAACGAGCTCGTCGCGTTCGAACGTATGTTTTACTAACGCGTAAACGTTGTCGATATTTTTTTTTTTTCCTGACGTCGAGTGCCCGCGAATGATGCTTATTCGGAGCCGAGAAAACACGACCGCGAGCTCGTTCTGTCGAAACTAACGGCTTTTTTGCAAGTCTCAATCCGCGCGAGTCGCAATCCAGTCGCCTTAATCGACCGCGCTCGCGCTATTTCTCTCTCCCTCTTTTCACTCTCACTCTCGCCTTTTTCTCCCATCGGTTGTCACGAGCGTGGGTGGGTGTACACGTGGCGCGCGATTGTTCTGCAATCGCGTCGAAAATGAAATCTCATCCACGGAATGCGATGCTACTATGTCGCTCTTGTACGCAAATACGCGATATTCTCATATTTCTTATGCGTTCATAATAGCGTATTGCCGGCAGATTTTAAGATTAATTTTAAAATAAAACGCAAACGTATTGACGCAGATTCGATATTTGATGATGATCGAGATGCAGGATCTAATGTGTTGATGCGCAGTTTGAAAATTACGGTTTACGGTTTTTTGTCGGAAGTACTTTCTAAAGTATTCAAACATGGAATATCGAGAGATGTGATCGAGCAAACTCACCTCTCCAATAGGGGATCCTCCTCAGCCTCCTTGTTAGACGAGTCTCCTTCCGGGCAGCCTACATTTCGCGGCCAATCGCACGTTTGCAAGTCGTGACTGGAAGAAGCCAAACCAATCTTTTTTTTTTATTCTTAATATTGATTATTTATGAGTACGCCTTACCAGGGATTTTACACGACTTCTCGTGTTTTTCGTATCATTAAAATTACATTTGCGCGACGCGAGACGTGTCATTTCCAATTTCGCCAATGTTTTGCAGCGTCACTTCTTATATAATTTGACACCTTTTCCTCGATTAAGCGAATTACCTTATACGCCGGCGTTTTTTCCGCTACCTGTCGTGTCAATTAAGTACTCACCGTGAATAAACGATAAGCGCGCGAAACTGTTACGCTTCCAGATTCCAGATTATAATCGGAAGATCACAAAAGATATTTTTGGGATCATTCAATATATATAAACAGTATTGATTGTTTAACGCGATTCGTTTCCGAAAAGAACCAAATTTTAATTATCGATTTCTTGCTAAGCTTTTCGTTGGACGGCGATCGTTTAATTAAGTGATAAAATGTCCAAACAGTCAGACGGATTTATGCAATTCGACATCATAGATCAGAACGTTCCCGCGAATTCCGGACAAACACGTTTATCATCGAAAGCCGTATTCGGCATCGCTCCTGTAAAACCGCTGTCACGATCTTTATAGCCGTACTTGGATATCGCGTTACCATTAAGCACCTTGGGTTATCTCGACCAACTTGTCACTCGCACGTACCGGGACGAGGTGTGGTTGGCTTGGCTGATCGATTTTTTTCCACCAGGATTATATGCGTGCATAAACACACACACATACACACACACACACATACACACACACACATACACACGATCTCCTTTTACCGTACAAACCCAGACGGCAAATTGAAAGTAATCCAGGATCGTATCTGTTCGCGCTGTTCACACAATCAAAACGAATCTTAAGTGTCCGCGAAGAATTGTTACTTTTTAGCACGCGGTCGATTACTCTATTATGTACTGAAATTCTTTGCAAAATAAGATAATTTAGGAACATCTCTTTTAACGCGTTAACATGAAAATAATTATTCTAGATTCATTGGTTAGTATTTTAATGTTTCAATTTTAATGTTTCAAAAATTAAAAAAGATGCTTTCAAATCTTTATTTTATAAATATAAAAAATGGAGATTGTAAAATATAAACAAAAGTAAAATTTCTTGATACTCGTAAAGATAAATTGCTCTCTTGTGTGTTATTATATTAAGAGAGATCTGGACACTCGAATGAGAAGTTCAGACATTCTATATAATGCTAAAATAAATTATGATATTTAAAAAAAAAAAAATAATTTTCAAAATAAAATAAAAATATTAATATATAAATAAATAAAGCTATCTAAAGACAATTTTCGCAAATAAAATTCAGTTTTTTTTTGCATATATGGAATTTGTCACACAATTTTCATAGAACCACTTTTTACATTACTCTACAACATTACACTCAATTTTGCATATTTACATCATTATAATAGAAACACTCAAACGATAGTTATCAGTTGGTTTTAATATCCCAGTTTTCATACAATATGTTGCTAAATTATAAGAGCATCGAATCTCTCACATGTATCGAGATATCTCCAAACTCGTGCATTTTTAAAATAAATATCTCACGGAATATTTTTGCGGATTTTTGCGGAGTCCGCGATCGCGAGTTCACGGGAAAGCGCGATTTCGTTTGCGCGGCGCAGAAATCTCTCACGAATCAACGTAATGCAGCTCTGGGAGCGCGAGACGAGTCAGCGCATCCGGCTGTCTGTGTCTATTGCTGTTCAACAATGCGCGCATAATCTCGATTCAACCAATCTAAGCTTAATTTCACCGAGGTTCGCTAATTCGTGGCCGTATTAGTCGATCGGTCCGCGAACACGGATTCGTTTCCACGTTTTTTTTTTCTCTCAGAGTGTATCTACCGCTTCACGATGATAGTCGTCTAAACGCGGTCGTCAACCTCGCGCAATTATATGCCTGCTTGGCAGAAACTCCGTAACGAGCAGAAGAACTCTTTTCATCTTCTATTATCTAGTATGTAATCTGAGAACCTGGACGAGCTTGATCGTTGAAATCGTTACATTACGTATACATCGCGATTTTATAAATCAAATTAAGAATCATGTTTTGACAATGATAAAGCACCAATTTTCTGATATAATCTTATCTACAGTATTAATTTAGCAGAAAAGATTTTACAATGAAATTCTATAATAATAAGATGTAAACACATCTTATTATTATAGAATTTCATTGTAAAATCTTTTCTGCTAAATTAATACTGTAGATAAGATTATATCAGTACACACACACACACATACACACACACACATACACACGATCTCCTTTTACCGTACAAACCCAGACGGCAAATTGAAAGTAATCCAGGATCGTATCTGTTCGCGCTGTTCACACAATCAAAACGAATCTTAAGTGTCCGCGAAGAATTGTTACTTTTTAGCACGCGGTCGATTACTCTATTATGTACTGAAATTCTTTGCAAAATAAGATAATTTAGGAACATCTCTTTTAACGCGTTAACATGAAAATAATTATTCTAGATTCATTGGTTAGTATTTTAATGTTTCAATTTTAATGTTTCAAAAATTAAAAAAGATGCTTTCAAATCTTTATTTTATAAATATAAAAAATGGAGATTGTAAAATATAAACAAAAGTAAAATTTCTTGATACTCGTAAAGATAAATTGCTCTCTTGTGTGTTATTATATTAAGAGAGATCTGGACACTCGAATGAGAAGTTCAGACATTCTATATAATGCTAAAATAAATTATGATATTTAAAAAAAAAAAAATAATTTTCAAAATAAAATAAAAATATTAATATATAAATAAATAAAGCTATCTAAAGACAATTTTCGCAAATAAAATTCAGTTTTTTTTTGCATATATGGAATTTGTCACACAATTTTCATAGAACCACTTTTTACATTACTCTACAACATTACACTCAATTTTGCATATTTACATCATTATAATAGAAACACTCAAACGATAGTTATCAGTTGGTTTTAATATCCCAGTTTTCATACAATATGTTGCTAAATTATAAGAGCATCGAATCTCTCACATGTATCGAGATATCTCCAAACTCGTGCATTTTTAAAATAAATATCTCACGGAATATTTTTGCGGATTTTTGCGGAGTCCGCGATCGCGAGTTCACGGGAAAGCGCGATTTCGTTTGCGCGGCGCAGAAATCTCTCACGAATCAACGTAATGCAGCTCTGGGAGCGCGAGACGAGTCAGCGCATCCGGCTGTCTGTGTCTATTGCTGTTCAACAATGCGCGCATAATCTCGATTCAACCAATCTAAGCTTAATTTCACCGAGGTTCGCTAATTCGTGGCCGTATTAGTCGATCGGTCCGCGAACACGGATTCGTTTCCACGTTTTTTTTTTCTCTCAGAGTGTATCTACCGCTTCACGATGATAGTCGTCTAAACGCGGTCGTCAACCTCGCGCAATTATATGCCTGCTTGGCAGAAACTCCGTAACGAGCAGAAGAACTCTTTTCATCTTCTATTATCTAGTATGTAATCTGAGAACCTGGACGAGCTTGATCGTTGAAATCGTTACATTACGTATACATCGCGATTTTATAAATCAAATTAAGAATCATGTTTTGACAATGATAAAGCACCAATTTTCTGATATAATCTTATCTACAGTATTAATTTAGCAGAAAAGATTTTACAATGAAATTCTATAATAATAAGATGTGTTTACATCTTATTATTATAGAATTTCATTGTAAAATCAGATTCACACATGTGAATGATATTGGTGAGGAATAAATGCTTAGACAAGATTTTTAATATTTCGACGAGACAAATGTTAATTTAAAAAACAGTAATCTTTTGCAATAAAGTATCAAAGTAATATTTTTTTTTTCTTAAATCATAATTTTCCATGATTGCTTTCAAGATTTAGAATACAACGCCAATAGGCGTAGAATTCAAGTTCTCTATGTTAAAAAAAATATTACTTCTACAAAATATTTTCCAATTTAAATGTATAATTGTCGTTTTTTTCAAAAATCTTAATTTTTTTCTAATCTCGCACCTGTACATGAGACCTCCCGTACAAGACTCCAGCAAGGCACCACCGAAAACGCATACATAATATTGCGTGCAATCGCGCGGATGAGGATAGTATCCAAATTCTTCAGGGCACTCGAAATCTAGAGCTGCCTCATTTCTACTAGCCCTTGCACTTCTCGGAGTATTCCGTTGGCATCCTGAAATGCAAAATAAAAAATATATTTTAGTCTAAAATTTAAAACATATATCTCTTAATTATTTAATTCTTAAATCACAATTTAATGTCATTAGTTGGTATTATTATATAAGAAACTAAAATCGCACTTTTCTTCTTCCGAAATATAATTAAATTATCGTCGAATCAAAATTTGCGTCTTAGGTCTCTCGTGGCTTTCTATTCGAATACATACTTTGGATCGGACATGCGTTTGATCCTATCGGAGCTTATGTGATTTCCTGTGTAAACTATCCGGTCCTAGATCTCTATGAAATTACGAAATATATTTTTTATGCAGCCCGTGTTGCAAAATGGTAAAACAAAGAAAGTCGTAGAAGCAGAACGGATTAATAGGCTCCATACAGATATATAAAATCGACAACAATTGTAAGATTGACAAAGATTATCTCGTTGTTCCTTATCAAATTATCTTGTACAATAAACTCTTGTACGTATATATAATTCTACATAAAGAGTTTACAAGATTTAGTATTAAGTATACAAGATTTCTAATAAAATCCACTAATAATAAAACTAATAATTATTTCGTAAAAAATTCTTCTTGTTTTTCTCTTTTATGTGATCACATATAATATTTAAAAGTATGAAATTATTAAAATAAATTTTCTAAAGTTATTTTTTTAATTTTTCAATTTGTAAAAATTCATTTTTGTTTTCTTTAAACTAGCAACACTTTGACATGCAATTGAAAATTGTAAGACATTAATAATCATAAGCAAATATACTTTTTCAAAAATAAACAATATTTAACACATTCTTCTTTTATTTGATCTATAATTGCATCCCTATTTAAGAAATAAGCTCTCTCTCCATTACGTACGGGCCAACAATTTTATCTAAGAACTCAGTATAGATACAAATTTATTAATTACAAGTACAAAGTCTGTCAAAACGATGACTACAAATCTGTAAATTATAACTACAATCTATTTATTTCCCGACGTCGAGTCTACTCAGACAAGTTGAGTTGTCGAAATGTCGTAAACATATTCAGCCTCGAGCGCGCGTACACATGATTGCCTGCCGTATATCATCGCGTACTGCCTGTCGCTCATTCGCGCATTGAAACGCGTATGCGATATGCGATAAGTGCAACGGTGGCGAATTGTGCAATGGAAAAGTAACCGGATTTTTGGTCGACCTTGCGCTCGCACGCACACTCACTCACGTCCGAACTCGAGTTCGAGTCGCGGCTATTCTAACGTTCGTATTTACGCAAACGCACTATTTACAAGAAACGCTTTTACAAAGATCTCTTACGAAGATCTTCAAGATCGAGTAAGGTAGAAAATGCGTAAGCGTGCGTCGCGCGTGGAAAAGCTGCAACAATACCGAGGCATTTAATTTGCCGAACGCGCGGCAGCGTACACGCAACGTAGGAGGCCGCAGGAGACACGCACGAGAAAAACGGCGCTCATCTCTCTCGCATTCCTTGGACTTCGCAATCAAGACCTCTCGCAAGAGGAAGTCTTTTTCCCGGCGAGGTTTCCCTGCTGATTATAGAGCCGGCTGATTAATAAGCGCTTCTGGAAGCCGACGTAATTGCGGTTTAATGAGAGCGTGCAATCATTTCCGAAGGATCGATATTGACGCACCCCGTGAATGTTCGCCGAGAGTATTATTCGACCTTTCCGCCGGCGAAATGTAAATAGACAAAGCGAAAATTAATACAACAAACTGAAGATTGAAAGATGTAATTGCGAAAACACAGGTGAGGCAACATTGGAAGATGGGTACGCGTATCCGCGTTTTCCGATATCTCGATGAGACGTGAATAGACAATGGATTTTTGTTATGTAATATGAATGCTGTAGAAGAAAGAGGTACCAAAACCGACGTACGGATCTTCTAAACTGATATGTCACTCTATTTCTCAATGATCGAAGGCTGCACTTTAACAGAGCTGATGTAAGAGCTTGGTTTATTTATCAGAAAACAATAATTTGCACATTCGTTGCATGTCTGTACGCTAAATCATTGACTTATATATGTGTATACATACACACACACACATATATATATATATAATATATAATATATATATAATATATAATAATTTAAATAATTATAATAATAAAGTACTTTATTTCATAACATTATATTATTTTACGCAAAAATTTTTGAATCTATTTTATTTCCGTTTTCGTATTTTCACTTTTCAGCCCAAAGATAAATTGGTATGTGAATTTAAACATTTTTCTTCGTAAGAATGCAATTACCGTTATGGTCGACGATTTCGCTCTTTCCAGAAATCTATTTTGCGCACATTGCAAACGTGAATTACGCACATTTGAATGTTAGACTATACGCGTGGGTGCCCAGCCATGTCCACCGATGTGTTTTAAATGCTCGTTTGTTTCCCATACAGGGAACACAATGAAACCGAATTATATAATTATCGTCAAGCATGGTACACATATCTAACGACGAGCAATAACGGATTCGCCCGATACGCGCGCGAGCGTGCTATCGTAACGGCGATTAAAATTAGGTAACTAGAATGGGAAATGGAGAAAGAGAACTCTCAATCGCGCTGGGAAGGAGAGATCGTGCCGAGATTGATTTCCAAAGAATGCGACTATAATTAAGCACGCGCGCGTAACCGGAGTGAACAGGATACGAGAAAATTAATTACCCTGTTAATTCATGATACCCGGTAGGTAGATATATAATGACGACGAGTTATACAGCGTAAGCGAATGCATCTATGACTTTTATATGAAAAGTTGAAGAATGAGATAGCTGTGTGTTTCTCAGGCAATTTATTTCTTCTTGCGAGAAAATGTGCGTTTATCGAAACTTTTATCTATAAATACAAGCCATTTCGCGTGCAATTGCATTGCTTTTAGGTAAAACCGTATGACAGAAGAGCACGTGTGTGCAACACGCATATGTGCATCCTATAATTACGTACTTTGACACTGTCTTCTTGATGACATTGAAAGTATCGGTTTGCCGAAGTTATTCGGTCGCGAAGGTCGCCGGGAATTGTCGGATCGAAGGTAAGAGACAGATTTGAACGTGCGGGATACAAACGTCCTCGATCGTACCGGATGTAGAAGGACGTGTGCGATAATTGACGTCGTGGAATCAATTTCAAGATCTATGACCTGTTCTTCCTCTCTCTTTCTCTCTCAATCATCAACGCTTGATCTCGAAATCTTTCATTCATTAACCTTGACAATCTCCTCTACAAGGTCGCTGTGGAATGATCCAAAATCTCGCTTCCAATCGCTTTTTACTCACCCAATGCAGAATTGAGACGTTTCGTTGCGAGGAATGCAATAAAAATCGCATGAATATTTTATGTACAACATTTTTAGATATGTATTCATTAATAATCAATGTCCCATAATATCAACATTCCTACATACCTGTCAATTTCAAAAATCTCTATAATATTAAATTAACATTTGTGATCATTAAATTATTATATTATATAATTTATATATCTAATTTTTAACAATCGTTATTTTCAAAAATATTTTCAAGAGTGTTGACCTTCTATATTTATATTACTTTTAATT